GGGAATGTCTGAAGACCCCTAAGGTTAAACAGAGGCACAGAGCACTAAGAGCCTTGCCTAAAATCACAGAATCATGTAAGGCTTGCGATGCCAGCATTTAGAGTTACAGAATTCTGGTGCTAGAAGGGATTTAACAATCATCTGATCAAATCTCATTTTACAGTTGAGGAAACTAAGGCCAAAAGAGATTAAATATTTTGCCCTCCAAAAATCACAGAAAGTAGTGTCAGAACTGGGCAGACAGCCCAGTTCTCTTGAATTTCAGCCGTGTAACTTTTTTCACAAGACCAAAGGGGAGCTCCAAGAAACTGCTATGAATATAAATAAGCTGTTTTGTAATGATGCTGTAGATTCCCATGACGATTTTTTCCTCTTTACACTCATCTGTTACATGATGATTAGTAAAGTAGTAGCATGGAAGTACTTTCATAGCAAATAGTTCAGTGGGGTGCGTTTATCAAAGTGGGTGATGAGGTCCCTGGGCCCTCTTCCACTAATCCTGATCACCTGCTGGGAGGGGTAAGATGTTCTTGAGGCATTTGGAAATGTCTTTGGAAAAATTTGGTAAGGGCAAAAGTGCTCTTCACCACCCTTCTGTTCTCTTCTCTTGTCCTCCCCAAGTGCTCAGAGGTAGCAAAGTCACCCCTTGACTGCCCAAGTCCCCTTCCAAAGGCCTTCCCAAGAAATGTCTTTCATAGACCAAGCTCTATGTTCAATATCTTTCTTTATCCACTTCCCATTTACCTTCATTAAGTCTTATTTATCCCAAGATAAGACTATCTATTGTGGAGATATTTTAGAAGATAAAGTCTTATGATGTTCCCTTGTATTTTCCAACTGGATGGCCCCCGTCTTTGTGGACTTTGAGAATTGGTGCTACACACTTAGTTCAATGGATGTAAAGTATCATTAGGTTCTCTCCTGACATTCACTTTGTTTGCCTACATGGCAATGATTGTAGAGCCAGGTGATTATGTCCATCAGCGGAAATGAAAGTTCAGAAATCCCGATGGTGATAAGATCTGAAGCTACAGATTTAGGATTAAGTAAAAGTTAATTGACCACTAGCTATGACAGTGGGTGTGGTCTTTGAAGGGAAAGGTATATAGAGGAGATTAGAGAATATAAAGGCAAGATCACATACCATTCATATATTTAGAAGGTGGGAAAAGAAAAAGAAAGTTAACAAAGACAAAGAGCAGCCAAGGCTATGAGAGAAACAAATTGAGAATGAGCTATATTTTGGTGAATTAAATCAGAATTTCCCACCACTTCACCAGAACTCATCAGACTGATACAAATATGCCCTGTCTGTGCTGAGATATATAGAATTATCCACCCTTTTCTGGAAAAACACACACACACTTCTTTTCTACTAATAGCAAAAATGGTTTCACAGCAGAAAAATGTGAAAAAAAATAGTATATGCGAATGTTTGGAAACCATTTTCATAAAGGAAAACTAGTAGAGCCAGGAAACTATAGCTCTGTAGGTTTTAAAAGGGATTTTTATAAAATTCCATAAGGACTTAAAAACTGAAGGCTTGTTTGCATTTGAGAATAAAGGCAGAAGTGCCAAGAATCCAACATGAATTTCCTCAGAAAAACTTCTATTAAACCCACCCTATTTTGCTTTGTGAGATGATTATTTAATGGAAAATTCTAGGCTAGTTCCATAGGCAAAATTTATTGTGATTTCAGGAAGTCAGTCATTTGATAAACACACTCATGATATCTCTTAAGGGAAGTGGAGAGATTCATGAACTGAATGAGTGTTTGGTCAGGTTCTAATTACGCCCAAGAGTGTTCATCGGTGTCAACCTGGAAGACAGTTTGCCTTGCCTTGGGGAGACATCTGGCTGTGTCCTAAGCTCTGCAGTGTTCAACACTTTTGTCAACGATATTATTAGACAGAGGAAGTCGGAAATTTTAGTTGATTATAAACTCACTGTGAATCAATAGTCCCATGTGGTTCTTATAAAAACAAAAAAAGAACTAATAAATTCACTTTCATAAAAACATCACATAGATCAAGGAGATGATGATTCCACTGATTACTGTCCACCTGGAAAGTAAATGAATCCTGAAAATAAACATAATTTAGGGAGCAACATTAATGAATTGAAATGTTTCTAGAAAAAGATTTGAGGAAACTCTCTATTTCTGTCGAAAGTTATTTGGTAGTGTTATTTTTGGCAGAAAGTATTTTTCTACTTCAGGAATCATAAGAAGTGAAAAAATCCAATATCCTTGGATTCCCTTCTTGAGTCTGGCACCATCTGAAAGTGAGACACAGGCGTCAGGAATCAGGAACCAGTAAAAGCTGGATTGCAGGACATGGATCAGACTTTTCTAGTGGGTTTCCCAGAACTTCATTCTCTGATTTGGATAGACTTGCCTACCCCGCCACTTGGGTGCCCAGCTAGACAACACCGGCTTCCTGTCCAAAGGTTGTTCATACATTAGAGCCAACATGCATGCACTGGCTTGGTGAAAGGCAGATCCAAAAGAGAGGGCTTCAGAGAGAAAGAGCTGAGCATGTTTGGTCTCTTTTCCCAAATCTGCAATGAGGTAAGTCAGTTCCTCCCCAGGAGGGAGTTAGGAGTGGGAAAACTAGCCTGGACTTTGAGTCAAGTTTCTCTCCTAATCCTGTTGTAGATTTTCCATTTTTAAACATTATTCTCCCCTGAAGAGGTGTAGGTTGCCCACAGAAGTCATTGAGGAGTTATCTGCCCAGATGATCTCAGATTGACAAATGTCCCTGCTCTCCTGTGAAGGAGCTAATAGCCCAGTAAGAGTGGGACCTCCCAGAAGGTGACCAGAATGATGAAAGTTCTGGGAGTCAAGGCAGAAAAAGACCTGAGGGATGTAGGACCAAATTTCCAAAGAGTCAAAGGGCTGGCAAAAGAGGAGGGCAGTTGGACATTTTCTTTGTCACTGAGGAGGCCAATTCAGATCCACTGGATACTGAGGGAAGGCAGATCTGTGCTAAATAGAGGAAGTTATTCTTAACACAAATAAAGCATAAAATTCTTTTTATAGAAAGCACCCTTTCAGGAAAGTGTTCAGAGGCTGCCAGAATGTCACAGAGAAGAGGAGAGTCTTAGACTGAACAGGAGATTGGATCAAAGTCCTCATGAAAAGGAAAATGAACATTCTATTTTCAGAAGAGCTAGAAAGAGAGGCAGAGCTAAGCTGTGGTAGGAAAACCAAAAGAAAAGGAGCATTTCTTACTAGATAAGGATTTATTTAGGAATTTTTTAAATGAGAAGAACTTTTAGGCACTTCTGGCTTTAGGTCCAGAATTTATACTTCTCCTCAATGGCTAAAGGAAACCACTTACTCTCAGCTGGGTTAGCACTTTCTCTGAGGATAAGTCACATCTGTGGGATGGCAGAAGGAACACTAACACTGTTTTGTTTGGTTTCTAATCTTCAACCGGAAACACATTTAATTCTCAAAAAACACTTTAAAAGTGTATGTCAGGAGCAGGACTATGGGCTAAGACGAAAAACTTGGACATAACTTTCTTGTGTGCAAGCAGGATCAGCCAGACAAAACCCAGTAACTGTTAATTAAGTAAAAATGCCCCTGAAATGCGGAGGGAAGTCAAAGAAAGAAGTGGATATAAAGTAAGCAGGTTGGGATGGATGAGATCCTTTTCAGCTTCAAAATTCTTTTATTATTTTTTTTTGAATTTAATAGATTTTAATCAGTTCTAGGGTAACTCAACATTAACTTGAACTGGTCTTTTTTTTTTAATCAACCAAAGTCCATAGTATACACTAGGGTTCACTCTTGGTGAACATTCTGTACATTCTGTGGGTTTTGACAAATGCATAATGACATGTAGCCGCCACTGTAGGATCATACAGAATAATTTTATTGCCACAAAAACCCCTTGCGCCCTATCTATTCATTCCTCCCACCCTTCCTCTCCTTAAAACCCTGGAAACCACAATTTTTTACTGTTTCTGTAGCTGTGCCTTTTACAGAATGTGATTTGGTTGGCATTGTACAGCTTGTAACCTTTACAGACTGGCTTCTTTCATTTAGTAATATGTCTTTTAAATTTCTTCCATGTCTTTCATGGCTTGATAGATCATTTCTTTTTTTTCTTTTTTCACTGCACATGTGTTTTTTAATTTACATATATATAGTGTTCATTGTTTCTAAGAATGTTTAGAGCTTTAGCTTTTTAAACTTACATAGTTATCAAAGAAATAAAGCCAACCACAAAATAAAAATTAATTTAAAAGGATACATACACTCTGCTGTTAACAGCAACATTATTTATAATTGCTAAGATATGGAAGCATCCTAAGTGCACATCAATAGTTGAATAGATAATGAAAAAGCAGCATATATATGTGTAATGGAATACAACTCACCCATAAGAAAGAAGGATATTTTGCCATTTGTGGCCCTTCATTCACTTTTTTTTTTCACTTCAAAAACCAGAATTTTATAACCAGCATAAACATTTCCATTACATCAAAAACAACAAAATGCCTAGAAATAAACTTACAGCTTCAATATTCTTTTGAGTCTATGCCAGAAGGGATATTTGAACCTCTTCTCAAACCAGAGATGGACGTGGATGAGTGGGGAGAAATTCTAAATCAGTGTAAGCAGGAGGCAGATCACTGTTTTTCCCAGTCCCCTAGCATGACCTATGCCCCACATGGGACAGAGAGGCAGGAGGCAAGTGTTCCTCTACTCTATCCTGGTGTGTCCACCTGTGAAAGGCTACAGCGTGCGTTTGTTCCATTAATACCTAGCTCCCCGCTAGGATGTCATCTCCAAAAGGGACAGATCATGTTTACTTTGACTCACCATTTGTCTCTCTGATGCCTAGCTCAGTACCTAATATATAAGAGGTGCTCAATAGATATTTTTCAAGGTAAGAATAAAACTAAGAGGCTTTTCGAAAATAAAACCAGTCATTAAAAATGACTTTCTCTGTATGAGGTACTACAGTTGTCAAGTTTATAGAGAAGGAAAGTCGAAGGGGTTGGGGGAGAGGAGAATGGAAAGTGAATGTTTACCAGGTACAGAGTTTCAGTTTGGAAAGATGAGCATGTTCTGGAGACAGATGATGGTAATGGTTGCACAACAATGTGAATGTACTTAATGCTACTGAACTGTACAGTTACAATGGTTAAAATGGTAAATTTTAGGTTGTGTATGTTTTACCACAATCATTTTTTTTTATTGGTTTTCCTGAGAGAGGAGGAGGGTTTTTCTAGGAGGGTCTGAGGATCACCTAACAAGGGAGCCCCTGATGTTTAGGGACCATGTGTTCCATGAATTGTAGATGAAAAAATAAACCAAAGCAGAATTTGCTGGTAGAAGGAGACTCCTTAGATCATGATTTGAAAGATACGGACCCAGTCCAGCCTCACCATCAGAGATGAGAACCAGGGCCCTCTCTCTCTTCTGTTTCGCAAGGTTTGTCACCTATCACTCAGAGACTAGAGGTCACTTTACCGACTCCTTGATCATGACGGGGCTGTGCTCAGGTTAAACAGACAAATGGTTTCAAGTTCTGTGATGCCATTGCCAAGGCCTTGAGCTGTCACTCACTGCAGGTCTTCTCAAGTTGTCTCTGAAGTTGAATTTGAGATCTGGAAAAAGAAAAGTCAGTGACTAACTCGAAGCTTTGGCTTTTCTAATTTGAAGGGACAGACCCCGCTAGCAGACGTCTTGGCCATCAATGGAGCAGAAGACATGCAGCCACTGTCCTCCGGCAAAGAGGGTGCTGCCCAAGGCCTGCTCCCGCCTGCAGACGTGCTTTTAGGAGAAGAATATGAGTGTGTCTCACCAGATGACATCTCCCTGCCCCCGCTCCCGGGAAGCCCTGATTCCCTCCTTGCTCCGTCTGACATGGAGGTGGAGGCAGGTGCCAGCCCCTCCCTCAGCCTTCACACAAGCACCTACAGAATGCAGATGGGGGCCAGTGGTCCAGGGGAGGCCTGGGATTCTGGCCTTCCACCACCTGCTGCTTTTGCTGATGTTTGCAATGATGAGACAGAAACATTTTCAAGTCATTTGGAGAAGCCTTACCCCCAGTTCCAAGCTGAGCCCCCATTAACATCTCCAGGATTTCTGGAAAAGAGTACTGCCTTCCACAGAATCAGTGCTAAACCTCCAGAGAGCATGCCGAGTGAAGTGCATGAGAGAGCTTTGCAACAGCCCCCCCAGGCTCAGGGAAGTTCGCTAGAAACACAGGAGAAGCTGCATGTTGATAATAACGACACTAAAACCCGGAATAGGCTGCATGCTTCCCAGGATGTGTACTCAGGCCTCGGGTTCCAGCCAGGCCCCAGCCAGGCCTATCAGAGGCAAATGGTTCCCCCAGAAGAGATTAAAAGTACATCAGCAAAGAACAGCATGGTCAGCCGGGCTGGCCAGGCTCCTACTTTCTCCAGGCTCCTGTCTAATGTAACTGTCACGGAAGGTTCTCCAGTGACTTTGGAAGTTGAAGTAACAGGATTTCCAGAGCCTACACTGACATGGTGGGTAGCCTATAATGACAAGCCGTGAACAGAAACAAATCGAATCACTGAGCATATCATTCTGTGGGCACTAACTTAAAGGTTTAGGGACGGCTGATTAATATCCTACGTCACTGCAACTCTGCATGATCCAGCCTCACATCAAACCCCCAACTCTTGTTTTGATAACCGCATAGCTAACACCCTTAAGGGAAAAAAAGTAACCACATACAATAATAATTTAACCAACCTCCAAAAGCACCGCAACTTAGTTGTACTATTTTTTTCGTATCATTTTAACATTCCACATTTCTAAAGATTATGGGTTGAACTTCTTTTCTATTGTTTATTTCTATATATAAGCATGAAATTTTCTTGGTTTCACATCTTGTATGCTAGCAGAAACCTTAATAAGCATTTGGGTTTTTCCCTTTTCTGTCATTTACCTATTTCATCTCTTCCCTCTTCCAACAGAGTCACACATGCCACTTTTGTAATATTTGTTTGTTAAGATTTCTTTTTATAAGTTTCTTCAATGTGAGAGATGGAATAAAACTATTTCTTTCACAGTTGCTTCCAGTGACAGGTAATAAATCCATTTTTGAAAGGTGGTATAATAACTGAACTGTGAACAATATGACTTTACTCTAGAGATGTCATTATTTTTAAGCCGATTTGTTTTAATAAAAGTAAACTGCAGAATACAGGTTTTAAATCACTGTTGATGTAAAAGTAGTTCTGACTTTCTTAATATGCAGGGTACTTTTAAGCATTTAGAAATTTTTCAACCTTAAGTATATTTATTTGAGGACAAATTTGCAAATACGTGAGTATGAATTTATAGTTAACAAATAGGGTAAGTAAGATAGCACTTATTTATCATAATGTTTCAGTAGATATTAAATTAATGATTTCAATTATTGTGTGTGTCCATTGATGTTACTTGAAGTGTGGATCAATTATCTAAACAATTTATGAGAAAATGTTGGTTTCTCAAATTATTCAAGGAAACTGCACTTGGGCCACGGTGCAGCCATGTGTGCCTCTCGTCTTATTTTGTTGTTTTTACAATTGCATGTTTTTCACAGATGAGGACTTTCATATTTATGAATTTAAAAGATATTTAATTCATTATTAAATATCTATTCACTCCAAAGAAAAATGTCTGAAGTGTTTCTTGTTTTTGTCCACACCACGGATGACTTGGTTAGCATTTACTGTTGAGGAACCACTATAGTATTGTAAAAAAAAAAAAAAATCTTGCCCTCGAATTTACAGCAATTGTGCCCAGTTAACAACTGGTGAGCTATCAGGAAATCATTCTCAGGACTCTCAGAAATAATACAGAATTGTCACTCAGGCAGTGGGAATAGAGAATGATTGAGGTTTGTCACTCCTTGTGTGGAGGAACATGGGCATAAATAAACAAACAAGAACCTATAGAGTATACAGAATACACAAATTATTTGCTTTATGAAACGATGCAGCTGAAGGCTCGTGTTCATAGGAAACTTTTAGAAACGTGTCGTTAACAGTGTTAAATCCAGTTGCATAAATGCCTTTTATAATTAGAAATCATTTTCTTCTAATGAAATTAATTCACAAAAATTAAATGAACCCACCTCGCCTAGAAGTGCTACGTAAGTACTTCCTCTAAAGCGGCGCGTTGGTATCCTTGTGTGGATCTTGTGAGGTGAGGATAATGGGGCAGATGAGTCTTGCAATAGATTCCAAGATGTCACAAGCTACTGTTTCGTGGTGGCTGAAAGAATGTCACAGACCAAATAGAAGATCCCATTTCCCACTCGAGTGATTGTTGCCGTGAGCTAACGGTGGCCCAGTGTGACCAGGTGGCCTGGTTTTTTAAGAGGCATTGGATATCTGAATTTTCATGGGCAATATTCCAACTTTTAAATGTCCAAAAATTCAGTTTTTGAGAAACATGGTCTGAGCCCATCAAGCACCTCTCTGGCCACCAGTTGTCCACCTCTGCTTGAAGGGAAAACAGCGCCACCAAAACTTGTAGTTGCTGCAGAGTTCCTGCTAACGCTAAATAGAAAATATTGCAGTAGTAGTGGGCTGAATGCTGATGCTTATTAGAACTTGAAAATAATGTGAATAAACAGTGATCCTGACTTTAAAAACTGACTCTCTGCTTCAGGTACAAGAAGGGCCAGAAATTGTCTGCAGATGGGCACTTGCAGGTTTTACACAAGGAGACGAGACATTCGGTGTTCATTCCGAAGGTATGTGAGGCAGATGCAGGCATCTATGTGGCTCAAGCCCAAAACTCTACTGGCGTTCTCTCTTCCAGTGTCATCCTCCACGTGACAGGTAACCACGGGCCGCCAATCACAAGAATAAACTGGATCATGCTGTGTGTCATCTACATTAGCGTGTCCCTAATGTACTGGCTACTCACACGGTAACTGTGAGGTTGGCACCTGCGGACGTCATTCTCATGAGCCTAAAGGACAACAGTATGGCTGTTTACTTTCCTGTATCTCCCTCCAAGTGTACCTCCCCACCAAGTGCACCTCCATTCTTGCCATATTGCTTATTTGGCTGATACCACTGCTCATGAAATAATCAGATTTTCTTTCATGTTTTAATGTACTTGAAGAGCTTAGGTAAATCATTAGCAGTGGATAAAGAAACACTTCTGTTTTCCAGAATGAGATGTATTCAGTATAAAACATAGTCAAATGACACTCTGTTTATTGCCTTTTAATTTAAGAGCATACCGATCAAGGCTCCCATCAGCATGCAGTTGTGAATTATATTTCAAATCCAATTGTTGGAGAGTCTATTTTTAATTGTACTCATAAACATCTCTTTGTAGAATAACAGTAGAAATGTTGAACTAAACTTGTAACTTTCATTATTGCATAAGCCGTCCTTTAATTTTGCTTTTCATGTCTCGATCTCATTTACTGAAGTGCATTCTATATAGTTTCAACATAGCCTGGACTCCTAAGTCTGAGGATGCCGCTGTAAGTAGTCATTCCTCCTGTTGATTTCACGGGTTTGACGTTGAAGAAGAGATGCTCTGTCAACTTTAAATGGAGCTTCAAACTTCCATCATCTGTGCATGTCACAGAGCAAGATGGAGCACAGCTTCAGGGGTAGACCATCCATATTCTCATCACTCCGTTGACACATTTGGGGCAGCCACGTGTATACAACTGCAACCAGTTCCTCCTGCTTCTAATCTTGATTCTGCTGCTGACAATTTTTTACAGCCTGTGGTAAGGCATTGTAGTGCCTCAGTTTCCTCTTTGGAAAATGGGTTCATCATCTACCTCTTAGGCAATTGACCATTTTCATTCCTTGTCTTGTAAACGTCTGGAAAATGAAAAATACTCTTTGAAGGTGGAGGGTAATTATATTGTTTAATGTAATTTGTCATCATACCGCTTTCTGCCCACTCTTTCTCTTTCAGATGTTGTTTCTTTAAAAATATTAAATTAAAGGAGTGATGTTGGTATGTGATTTCCAACTATTTGCATGTAGCAAAATGATGTTTTATGAATTGGAGCTTAAACTCCTTTCTAATTTCTTAAGACTATATCCTTTCCAAAGATTTGAAATTAAACTCAGGAGGATACATTTAGTATAATCTCGAGGTATATAATAGGATGACATAAGATGAATTGTATTCTTTCCCTGTAATTATCACTGTAATATTGCAGAATGTTCTATGCTTTTCTGAAATATATCATTCAGAAAAGGGGATCATTTTAGTTCCTTTAAAAAATAAACATGTATAAGAGAGGCATTTGTTTTTAGATTTTAAACATAGTCTTGTCATGTTAGGGTGAAACCTTTAGTTGAAAGAATATTCATTATAGATTTTTGATGAAGCAGATGAACTACTTATGTTGCTGTAAAGACTGTCTACAAATAATAAAAATACTTAAATTTAATATATTCAAGTTGATATTAAAAAGTTACTGAATTTTATCTGAAGATGTGAAATGTGTGGCTAAGTAAAAAGTTGCCATGGATTTTCTTGTGCTGTGTCTTCAATGTAATAAAAAAGTTTAATCTCTTAATTTTCTTACAGATTTTGACAGAAACCTATTAAAAGCTTATGTATACAGCCTTCTAGGGAACTCATAGTCTCTTACCTCTCCTGTCCTTTTCATCTTGCTTAATTTAGTGGGATCTCCCTTCCCATTTTGTCAACTTGGGTGAATTTGTGGTTTGGGGTTGTTGGTACCTGGGAGTTGCTGGTTTTCCTTACCTGTTACATGCCATTAAGGTAAATCCTTTGGAGAGCAGGGTGGGATATACATATATCCATGGTGTATGACCAAACAAGGCATATAAATCCTCTGATCTATTTAATTTATATCAAATATAAGGTATATATATATATATATATGTGTGTGTGTGTGTGTGTGTGATATGTATACCTTATGTGATATATATATATGATGTATATCACATATTTGTACACATACATACATAGAGCTCAAATATTAGGTAAAAGCATTATGCCAATATTCAGGATATAGTTCATGTAGCTGTCTATCTATCATCTGTTTCTTCATCCATCCATTTACCTACCTACCCACCTACCTGCCTACGTATTCTTCTGAGCTATTGACTATCTAGTAATTCCCACAGCAATGAAGATTAATCAGCTATTCGGTTATTCTTCTGGTTATAGTTTAATTTCAAAGACTTCAGTGTGATTATCCCTTTTGTTAAAATTTTTGTCTTGATCGAAAGTTCTCCTTATGAATGTGTGAACCAAAATTATTGGTTAAAAATGAGAAACCTAGGAAATGGATATGATGTTTCTGTTTTAAGAAATATACATGATTTATACCCATTTATTTCTAGAGTAAATTCTGGAAAGTTAGTAACACTTTGCAACAAGAAAAAGAAAATGTCAAGAAAAAGTTAAAAGAACGTATACTCGACACCCTGAAGGAATGCAATACAAAATGTGTTTTGAGCTTCTCACAAGGTAAAATCATTGAGTTTTCTAGTTTTGATTTTCTTATAGAAAGACATATAAACATTTGAAGGTAAAGTTTTCACATTCAATTCCAGGAGAAATTTGCCAGAGGGATCCTTCCATTTGAATCTTTGCATATTCTATAATATCTAAAATATTTGGGGGAAAAAAGCAGGAAAATTTAACTGTTTCATTCAATAATGCTAACCATCACTTATAATCAAGACACAAACTGCTTCCCCCAAGTTTAAATTCCTTCAAGTTGTACACAAGTCCCTTAGTACCTGCCTCTCCATTCCCAGCCTCTGTTCCATCCCTTGTGATCTGCCCCACAAAGCGACATTTAACTTCACATTTTACCCTGTCACGCTCTTACTTCTCTCCAGTCCTTCTTCCCAGAGCACCCTTACTGTATTCCACCCTGTCTTCATGTGGCTTAACTCCTGCTTTTCCTTCCAGGTCCCTTTGAGACACAACTTCCCTCAGGAAGCCTTCTGACTCATCAAGTCCAGTGTAGCCATTCCTGCTACGGGTGCCATCAGCACCTGAGCTGCCCATGTCATGTCCCTTAATTCGGTGCATTGGAATCGCATGTTTGAGCATCTGTCTCCTGGCCAGAGTGTGGGATCCTCATCAGCAGGATCTGTGACAGCCCTGTTCACTGATCGTATCCCCGGCACTTAAGACATAGTCACACGCCACAGTTCTTGAATTATTGTCAGAGGTAAGCAAAGATAAGCCTAGCTTGTTTTTTCTTTCTTTTCTTTCTTTCTTTCTTTTTTTTTTTTTTGGAGAGAGGGGTCAGAGAATGTAAAAAGACAAAGATGTATTTGTCACCAGATTATTCTTTTATGTAATGGACATTAACCAGTCAGAATCAGGTTCTAGCCATAAGGAATGCATAAAACTCTCTCACCTAATCTACAAAACTTAAGTGAGAACCTATCAGATCCTCTGGGCTACACCCTGATTGAAAATTTAAACTTGAAGATCTATGCTAGCTCTAGAGGTCAAAATAATACAGAGGTGAGAAGAGGCAAAATCCAAGATCATTGTTCTGACGTTTAAAATCAGGTGTAATCAGGCATAAATCATCATCAGGTGTAACTGTAGAAGTGCGTGTCTCCCTTCTCAGAACTAAGTCCAAACTGCCAAAACCAGAATTTATGTACTTCTTTAGAACACTACACAAATTATCAATATTTTATTGTAGCTGGAGTTTGGTAATCTGGTTGGGAACAGATCTCACTTGAAACTCATTCATAAGTGTAAATATAAGAAAAAAAACAAATCCAAGAACTTAGATTATTTGAATTCTAAATGAAGGAAGGAAAAAACAAAACATCTTGTTCCACTTTGTTTATTTTTATTCATGACCATTCCATACTAGAAATTGCCATCTGAAGCTTCTGACATTCCTGTTGTAGGGACAGTATTTTAAGTGTGTCCATGAAATAAGTTAGCGAAATCGAAATAAAATATCTCCTACTGGTACTCTGATATTGTGCGTGTCAATGCAAATTCCAAACCATGACAGACTGTTCTCCATTTATAATAAGCAGACTCTTGAGCTGCATCAGAGAGCCAAAAGATTTGCATTCACTAAATGAAACAGTGTTCTGCTTAAAGCAACAACAATTCATTTTCTCCGCGCTATCTTCGCATGAGATGAGATTTGAATGTTATCAGCTGTGTATGAATTCAGTCTCAAAACAGAAAGTAGAAAGCTGCTAATTTGGCTTTTCCCCAAGAACCCCCACACCACGATTTCTTGTGTTGATGAGAGTTTATATAACATCGTGAGCCACCCAAGCACTGGGGGTGAGGGTTGGATGCCTGACACTCCTCCAGATGAATAAGTCTTTGATTCTGGAGTCTGAGTGTTTGGCCAGATAGCTCTTCCTTCTGTTCAGTGGAAATTTCATTTGTATAAGCCAGGACCTGGCAAATCCAGTTCTTTGGATCCTCCTTTTCTTTATAGCATAAAATTATCACCCTCTCCTCCTTAAAGGACAAGGGAAGGAATTGTATAGACAAGAATGTTTGTGTGCACATATTTCCAGTCATCGCAATCAAAACCTGGTGAAATTGAAACGTATTTTAACAACAGGAGCAGCTGAAAAAATTGATCCAACTTGATTTTTCTTTAAACCAGAACACTAATAGTTACATAATTTGAAGTTTTCAATCCGTATTTGTATGGCTCCCTGCTATGGCTCTTTTCCCATTTAGAGCCACTTAAATATCAATACTTTCATCAGAACTAGCTAATGAAACACACTTTTCCCTTTGTCATTCAACAACTGTTCTTTTCCAAGAACTTTATTGACCCAAACAACTACAAGATGGTAGTTTTATCTTACATGAGGATTAAAAATCATATAATGAAATCTTTTGAAGGTAAAAATTCAAGAGATGAAATATGAAGGAGCTTTCTCCATGGCAAATGGTCTATAACCTACATTATTCTAATGAAACCAGAAAGCTGCCTTTCTCTGTAATAAGTATTCTGCAAACCCCCATACAAAGAGGCTGTTGGCAAGTAGGGCAGCTGGAAATGCAGACAAAGTAGAAAACCAGGTACCTGGCAGGATGAGAAAGGCTAAATGCCCATCTGCTCCAAAGCGTCTTTTTCAGCAAACATTGCCATGTGTGCTGACCCTGCTTTTGATTCAAGTTAATGCAGCTCCAGAAGATGCCTCTTTAATGCATATTTATTAATTTCTGTTATTTTTAAAGGAGTAAGAGAGTTTCTCATCACATCCTGGTCTGGGTTATCAGATTAAACAAGAATATTTCCCCCACCAGAAAAACGGAAAGATTCTTGTGAGGAATTGAGGTATGTGGGAATCTGAAGGATTTGTCTGCTGTGTTCCACTAAGTGTTCAGATATGTAGGTCCAGAGGGGAGAAAATAACCAAACACCAGGGTGAGGAAACTGAGTCAGCTTTGGGTTTCACCCTCCCTCTCAGTGTGAATTTCCTGCAGATCTGTGTCCTGAGAGGAAGCTAGAGGCCACACAATAAAATGTCTCATGACATTAGAGGACTTTACTGGTCGAGTAGTGTCAGGGTAAGCCCTACATCCACAGCTGGCGTCCTTATAAGACAGACACGGAGACATAGAGGAGACCCATGGGAAGAGGCCAGGTGATGACGGAAGCTGATTGGTGTCATGCAGCTGCTGAAGGCCATAGAACAGCAGAAGTGGCAATGACCAGAAGTGAGAAGCAATGAGGGGTTCTTTCCTAGAGACTTCAGAGAGCGCTTGGTCCTGCTGATGCCTTCATCTGGAACATCCAGCCTTCAGAACTGAGAAGGAATACATTTCTGTTGTTTTAAGTCATCTAGTTTGTGGTGTAGTCCTCCCTTGGTGTCCCCACGGGATTGGTTCCAGGACACCCCTCCTCTGCAGACACCAAAAATCCATCCATGCTCAAATCCCTCATATAAAATAGCATAGTTGGCAGTGAGGGCCAACTGTTCTTCGTTACAGCAGCCCCAGGAAACCAGTGCACAATGTTTTAGAGAAGTCTGTATGAGTCTTTATCTGGAAATGAAACTCCCAGAGACATTCATTAATAGACACCACCCAGCCTTTCCAGTGAGCGCTCCTGGGGTATGCTGGAAACCCTTGGTTCTTATCTTGATTGGGGGGATCACTTTGGTACATTTCAGCCAATCAGCAACTCTTCATCTTCTACATGCACATTGCCCCTGAGTGCACCACAGTGCTAGGTGATCTAAAGGAAACAAAAGCCCTTCAAGATAAGACCCTTAATGGATTTACTACTTTCTTGATGATGATGCACAGGCATGAACCAGAAAAGAACCAAGAAAGGCAGCATGTAATTAAAGTGAGGACAAATGGGCTCTGGAGTCAGGGGGAGGCAAAGGGAAGCTGGGGTTAGAAATGTGAACCAATGTTAGAAATGTGCATTAAACACACCTTATTTAACAAATTTAAAGGAAGGATAATCATACAAAGCATGTTTTTAGACCACAGTGGAATTAAACTAGAAATCAGAAAGATAACT